TGTCTTGTTCTAGTAACACTCTAATCTCCTGCTTATTAAGGGCTAAGCCCTGATCTGCGAGAGGCATCGCATTTAACCAAGAACTTGCGCCCTTGTCTCTCGATTGATTAACTAGTCGCAGCAGATCTGGGGAAAGAGTTGAGTTAATGCCTTCCATTTTCTCTTCGTCACGCGCCCTCTTAAGTGACTGATGATGTCTCTTAAGCTCCTCCGTAAAGCTTTCGCCTGGCGCCATAAATGTACTCTGCGATTTGATAGAATCTACGCGCGCAGTAGTTATTGACTTCGAGGCAGCTAACTGTTGTGGCGCCTCAGCTCTCAAATCTGGCATGCCCAGACCCCCTTGAGCCGTTGTTAAGGTGACAAGTAGACGCACCTCGTTAGGGAGAGGCTCTGATTGACCGAACAAAGTTGGAAGAAGTAGGTCGTCAATCGCCTCTTGGATTGGATCGACATAATCCTCAAACGAATCTATAGTGCGCATGAAGTAGGTGAACTTTAACTTGCACCCTTTTATGAAGACAATGTACGCTGTGTGAGGCTGACTCTTTTCAGAGCCGTTCGATTTCCTCTTCCCATATGCGAATTTTCTCCTCACAATATTGATCTTTGTATTCTTGCGACGCAATGACTGCTCCTTGATGGCGCTGACCTTCAGTTGTTTATTGACTTCATCTCCAAACACCCTCTTTGCTTCATCTGCAAGTGCCTCAGACTTAACAATCAGCTAGCTAATTGACCCGTTCACGAGATATCCAAACTTTTCTCCCTCTTTAATCAATTGCTTGTATCAGTCGTACAACTGCGCGATTCTCCCTCCTCCAGCAGAGTCGTCTGCAAGCCACACCTGTTTAACCATCGGGCAGTGCGCCCTCAGATTCTGAATCATTATAGATGTATTGAATGAGTACCATGGCATCGCTAGGGGATCCCCTTGCGTAGTGCCTTCTTGTGAAAGTGTTTCACCTCCACCGCAGATAAACGGTCTAGATGGGCTTCTATAGGTGTTTATTACATAGTGCGCCATTTCTTTGCATGTGATCTGGATACTGTGCGAAGCCGCTGACCTGTTCATTTGCTTAAAGGCGTTACTTGCATCGATCAACAGAATCCCATCTGTTCCTTCTTCTTCAAACACTTGGCTCATTGTATGTATCGCAGCCTCCACTCCTACATTATGACCAGCACAAACTTGTAGGGGACCTGCCGCTTCTTTTATTTCCTCCTTTAAAAAACCGCTGACCATTTTTTTCCCATTATTCGCCTCACGACCTCTCCAACGCCGATTGGTCTAATTCTAGGGTTCTTGTCGAGCGGGCGAGTTTCTTCATGCCAAGTTACCGTGGGGTCCCCGGCGAGACTCAGTTTAAAAGGGAGGCAAGGTTACCTAGCTGGTTTTCAACGGTCGTGTGTCAAGGTTGATGTGGACGCGGGCTGTTAGAAACCTCTGAACTGGAAATTTTTGAAGCAAACTGCGGCTTAGCGTCGGTTGAACGGAGAATATTGAGTTTGTAGGGAATTGAAATGAAACTACAGTATGTGTGCTTGGATTCTGCGTTGGATTTGTGGCTGCCCGGTCATTTTGCGCTGGAATTTTTCGCTTCTCAGATCGGGCGTTCGGAAATGGAGTGTTCAGCCTTGGGCTTTTCTTATGTACGTTGAAAACCTCGAAATGGACAACTCGCTAAAATGTGTTCTTTTCATCAAAGTAAGCGGTCAGATAACAAGCAATACGCTGTGGAAGTAAGGTGAGGTACATTTTTTGAGAATTTGACGTATTTTTTTATTCCTTAGAGCGGTCGTAAATATTCCCATACAAACTCTAATAATTCCGCCATGACTGTTATTGCGCAAGATTATCATCTCACAGCTGGAGCTTGGGCCGCCTGTGGTGAACACAGCTATCTCTTCTCTTAGGATTTTACCCTCAGTCTTAAAGTTCTTAGAGCACAGGATTCTCCTATAAAGCTCCGAGTCCATTCCCGATGGCCATGCTGAGCCCTTGGTTTTGCTTGCTGAGTTGTAAATCATTTCTTCGTCTATGAGATCATACACGTTTGGTGGAATATAATCAACTGGACCGTGCAACAAACTCTCCTCTGCAATATCAGCCGCCTCTGGGTGATAGGTCGAGCAGGCCAGACGAACTCTCGTTATCTAGGAGTTTCATTGCAGCTGACAATTTTCCTTGCAGAAGCAGTTTTCAAAAAACTTTGGATACGTCCTCGACCGTCCTGCTTTCTTAGAGTTCACAAATTTCTCCTGTATAAACCTCACTTCTTTAAGCAACAAATCAAAGTCCCCTTGTTTCCAGAGAGCTAATCGACCCTCTATTGCTGCGCTGTGTTCCTTGCTTTTAGAAGTAGCAGACGCTTTTTGCAGGATCAAAGTTGGGAGCACCATGAATGCTTTCAAGGCAACTGAGTTCAAATCAGAATCTGCATTGAACTGCTTAATCCAGAAAGTTAATTCTTCAATGAAACTCTTCCCTGCACGGCTAGATGGTACATTGGATATATTTTTCCTGTAGTAGACGATTTCGTCGTAAACACAATTGACAATATTACAGAAGCTCGCGTGGCTAATATTACTCCATTTTTTGTTCTTTATTTCGGAAGGAAACGACTCATAATCGGGCAGATTTGGTTTGATTTTGTTTGATCTGTGACTATTGTACTAGCCAATCCCGTGGGAGAAGGTACTCTGCCACTCTCGGTTGTTACTGGCTGATGAAAATCCGAGATAACGGAATTAGCATTTTGAAACTGCTGTTGTGGGCTATTGTTTTGAATGTTTCGCAAGTCAGCTTGAATATTATTTTCCTCGGGCGCCTTCTCTTCTATATCATCCGACTCAATTTCTAACCTGTATCCACTCTCGAATAAGGTGCTAGTATTTCGTGTATAGTTCTGCTCTTGCTCCATTTTCTCCAATCTCGAGGCTTGATCCCGTAAATTCTGGCTTTTTAGCCCCAAGTATCCGTAACCCTTTTCTTCCCATAAATCTGCCATTACTTCGATATAACCCTTCTTCCTCCCGGTAACGTTTCGTGGAGGGTCTACAGACGATATCAGATCCTTCGCTGTTCTCTTGCATTCCAGAAGATCACTATTCATACGCTCTGTCCATTTCAATTTGTCCTGTTTCCTCGACATATCTTGCAATGTTCCTCTTTACAACCAGCTCACTATCATCGATGTTGGTTATACGGTTTTTGGTTTCGTTTGCTTGTTTAAAGTGTATATGACACGAAAAATTTTCCCCCGGATTTTGGCAGTTCAATATGTATGATAAGCTGTGAGACAGTTACAAAATGATAATTTTTTTTTCTCTGACCGCTTTTCTTCATGCAAAACTTGCTCGATTTCTAAATAAAAACTGTCTCAGGAGACTGGGGACGAGAAACAAGGTTGTGACGTTACGTTGTTTGATCGCTTGATCAGTGAACAAATTAATTTACAACAAAACCACGCGTACTTGTCAAATCCGTCGCTTTCCGCCGTGTCTGTTTCCGCGACATCCAGTGATTCCGAGGTCAGTAATGAATCGTGTGACTCCTCTACGGGTCTCGATTGGGAGCAGAGTGACAGTTCAGATAGCGAAACCAGAGTTATCGATGGTGTTATCATCCCATATGAAGATGAGCCGCTTGCGGATTGTGGCGAAGAAGTAAGCCCGAATGCAAATGAAGAAGAAACAGATATTGATGGACTTACCTCGTCGACTTTGGAGTCTAGATTTGAAGGAAATGTGAGTGTGGATTCATGGTAAGTTGAAAGATTTACCGTGATTCCTTTTGAACATAAGCAGGACTGATATGCGCTCCTGCGTTGCTAAGTTTGTCCGATAATTTTTGATTTACCTCTTCCAGGTGTGAATGCGAGCAGTGTGATACTGAAATGTTGGTCGGTGCCCTCGAGTTTCGATGTTTCTAATTCGTCCGCGAAATTTATGTTTGATGGTTCGATCGAACGAATCAATTGTATCACCAAACATGAAGACTTTAACGCCATTACGAACCGCGCCGTTCTTCTGCAAGTCGCTTCTTAGACGCCAAGATGGAGGAACCTATCGTCGCCGCAGTGGAGGGTCAGAAAACGAGTAAGGTTTTTTTCCTTTTAAATATGTAGTTCTATGTCATTCTTGTTTTAATCGCTTGACCTAATAATTGAGATACTTGTGGTTTCATATTAATTTTTTAATTCTCCAGTCATAAGAAACTAGTCTCCTGTCATTCAGTTAGGAATGAAGGTCCGGTAATTACTTGAACTGTAGATGTCTTCATTTCTCACTTTTATGTTTACATATAGGTTCATCAGAGCCGTTGCATATAGATGGACAACGAGGTGGCTTTGTGGGTACATAGGCTGGGAAAACAGACAACCTCTCCCAGCTTGTGTTTATCACAGTGTGAGGAAAAAAAACAACACACAACAACACAGGGGATATGCTAATGTCCAGGATGGGGAGGTGCATTGAACTCTTGTAAATGTACTTCATTGGTCCATGAAAAAAAATTTGTGATAAAAAAATGCTCCCGTTTTAGTTTCATTTGCATGGGCCATGTCATTTTGTATATACTTCAAAAAATAGTAATAAAGACAATGAGAAAGCAGACATGGATAACAAACTGTGAGTCACTTTATTTGCCACTTTTCTTCTTGTGACAATGAGATGGCCTCTTGCTTTTGCGGGTGCGTCTAGAAGTGGATTGACTACTGCTTGGTTGACTGTTGCCATCAGCTTGTTGTGAAGCTTGTTCTGATTCTATAGGATAACAATGGTGATATAGTATGTGAGTGCATCATTACAGTGTAGGTGTGTTACTTTGTATGCCCAATGACAAATGGTGTTTAATCCAGACTGAATACAAATATGCTTCATTCTCACTTGTCTTGAGTTGGGAATAAAAAATTTACATTTAAAGGAGAACTGAAGCCAAAAATTGAGTTAATTTCTTTCGATAGCCAAAGTGACGAAATTCTCGATTTCAAGCGTTATTTGTGCTAAATGTGTCTTACCTTGGAGAAATATTTCTTTAAAGTTTGTATTTTCGCGCTGTTTCGGCTTTCAAACCGTGGGCACCAATTTTAAATCAGCGGTCTTCCAAATGAGCCTGTGACGTATGTTATGGGGATCACTTTAGAACGTGTTATCGTTCAGCTAAGTTTTAATACAAATTGCGTCTTCGTCGACCCTTCGTTATGAGCGGAATAGAACCATTTCAGTTCGAACCAGTATATCAGCCTGGAGAAGAACCACCTCAGGAAGAGAGTGTAGGACAGGAGGTAGAAGCCCACGAAGAAGACAATACTTCGAGGATGGGAAACACCGAATGGTGTTTGTGCGGCGCTTGTGCGCTTATGCCGGTGGCAAATGAATGTTACTGCTGCCAAGAACTAGAGGAGCTTAATCAAAAGTTCGACAATTCAGGTTTGTACTTATTATGTGATTATTCTCACGAGTATTTTGTTTGAAGCGACCGCTTCTTTGCTAAGAGTGACAAAAGGTGGACAATTGCAAACTCGATCTTAGTTGTAATTGCAATTACAAGGTCTGATGGATGAAAATTATTGAAACAGTGAGGGAAATAAAATGTTAAGACTTTTTTCTTCTTGATAGGTGTTAGATGTATAACAGAACATCCGAAATTTGGTATTGTATGCCTGGACACGGATGTTTTGAGCACGGCATTGGTTGCAATCCACAATGCGCGGCTCAATCCAATTCCCGACCCTATCGTCAACAGGTAAACTGTCTTTTTCTTTCTTATTTTGTACGCGTAATTAAGTCAATCGCTTTTGTGACTTTATATCCTCTTGTTCTCTAGAACTTGGCGTTTGGCAGCCTACAGACAATTTACTTGGTGGGCACATGGGGTATTAGGAAAAAACCGGCGGAGAATCGTGCCAGCATGCGTCGTCACGGCCATACGTAAAACATTTCCAGAAGAGAGTGGTAATTACGTGGGGTTTCGAGAAGCAGATCTGGAACTTTGAACTTTATCCGTAATGTCCTTTAATAATGATTAGTAACATATCCTTTGCGTGTATAACACCAGAGGCTCTTCTTTCCTTATGTTACGGTTTCTTTCTAAAATTTGCGTGAAATATACAATTACTTATCGAGGATATGAATTACTAACACATTTCTGCATAGTGATTCAGTCAAAAGCCATGCAGAGCCAAACGAATGTCATCCCTACTGCAGTTATTAAATTATCCACATTGCCAGGGATAGCTGCGTGGCCTGAATGAAATAAACCTCAAACCTAACTTTGATTGCTTTTTGCTACGATGATTGCTTTTATTTTCATTTGATTGTGTTATTGACAAAGTTGTTGTATTTAATTATTCAAAAATCTCGAAGTATGATTAGCAATGACATCTGCTTTAGGAGGCCGGGGTTTGCTGGCAATGTTTACAGGAATGTGTGGTGCTGTGACTGTTGCACTCCTCTCTTGTGGTTTTAAGCATTTTCTCTCTACAATGGCATTAAGCATTGGCTTGAGATGATAATTGGTTGTCTTCTCAAATATGGGCTTTGCCACCCATTCTTTTGTATTTTTCGGAAACACCACCTTATATTGCAGCTCCCCTTGGTTGGCACCCCTGGATACAGTGGCTTGTTGTCTACCAGTGTTGGCATTATGGTCTAGGGCTGCCAACTGAGTTCGAGCAACCATGCCATTATAAGAGAAGTGCTGCCGTTTGGGTGCATATTTGGTCTGCACACTATGGTACACCTCTAAATTGCCAGTATGACAACTTAGTGTTAGTTGCTGAATGTCCTTCAACAGATTTTTATCGAATACAACCTCCTTCAATGCATTATGAGCAGAGGAGCCAGGCCTAAGCCACCTTTTAGTTCTTGCGATAGCTGGAGGGATTGGTTGGTGGGCACATTCCTCATACAGGTCAGCTGAATCCCAGGAGTGGATATTGGCAGTGTGATAGACAATGGATATCCACTTCTCTCTCAACATCTCCTTGTCTCCCCCACATGTTTTGGCACACCACCAAAGGTGGTTTGAGATGGATCTGATCCAGAGAGAGAGATCAGCACATTCTCTCTTCTTTGCTTTTTCAGTTAACTTTTTAGTTATACTCTTGGAAAGGTGCCACACATCAAATTGATGATCAACTTCAGGGAAATTTCTTTTCATGTCAGCTCTTTTCATGTCAAATGCCCACATGACGGTCAGTTGCAACAACCATAATTTTCCCCCCTTTTTCATAGATGTTTTCCATACAGCGTTTAAAACCCTCTCTTTCCATGGCATTGCTATTATTTACTTCACTGACCTGAACAACCTTGAAGTCAACAATCTTATCAGTTTTCTGATCAATCATGGTATATGTCCCATATTTTGCATTATGGCCAGGACTGTCACAACGCCCATCCCCTGAAAGCCACAGATCTCGCCCCCCTACCTCAGAAAAAGTGGAATTTTGTTCTTTAAGCCAGAACTCATTGATTACGGGTAATAAGTACTTGTTTTGAATATTATAAAATGTTTTCTCACTGAAAATTTTCAAATTTAAGATATCTGCCAAAGATGCTACTTTTGTAAAGGTAGAGCCACTGAGCAAAATAGATGATGACAGCAACAAATTTCCAGCTGCCATCCCCTCAAGCATTGGCTGGCTTTGCCAGGAGTACTTATGATTATTCATACATTCTAGGGTGACAAATAGTTGGCTTCCTTGTGTGGATTGGTTCCTCTTAATCACAACTGCACCACACTCAGGACAGTACTTAAACAATTTAAATAGCTCTTGTTTAAATACAATGTATTTGGTATCATCCTGTGGCTTTTCGCATTTTGTTTCCCCTTGGTGTTCGTTGTCTGATCCTGACAAGTTCGAATCATCTGAATCTTCCTGTTTTGTGGGAAGGTAGATGCCATCTTTTCTTGGAGAGACTTCTGGGGAAGCAGCAGCTTCAGTTGCTTCTCCCTTGTTATCTTCAATTTCAGGAAGGAATACCTCTTCAGTCTGGGTGCTGCTTTCTGAAACATCAACCTCGACTTGGGTGTCAGTAGATTTCATCATTAAATGAAGACCACGAAGATTGACTTGGATCCCAAAATCCACACCCTTGTTTGGCAAATTCACCTGCACTGCTTGTGACTCAACCAACGTGCTTTTAGGCCCTAAATCATGTGGGAATGGATATGATGGGCTGTCTGAGGTTGATGTACTTGCTCCACAATTCACTACATCAACAGGTGCAGGCTGTTCTAAAGCTGAAGCTGCATGTTCTTCGATTCCACAACTAGGTTGTGCAGTGATAGAGGCTATATACTATAACAGAAAAAATATTAACTCTGTTATGGTATGGGTTAGTGACCCTTTGAGAGAATGAAAAATGTGGGTATGAGGGATAAACTATGCTACTATATGGTTACACAATGATTCAATGGGATTTTCTTGGAAAATATAACACCTGACCCTGCCCTCCTTTGGTTGAAAGCCTGCACTGGTTTTAACTTAGAATTTCCAGTTGTATTAAGTTTTTATTCACATAGAGGTAAAGAAGGTTAAAAGAATTCATTATTTAAAGAATAATATCCACAACTTACATATAGTCTATTTGTACTAATTTTATTCACCTGCTAGTTAACAAGGGACAGGTATAATGTTCCTAGAATTAAAGAATAATCACTTTATTCTGAAACAATTTAATTTTGTTTACCTACTGGTCAAACATTTTCAGGAGAGATGAAGTACAAAGATGACTCAGAAAAAAAAAACATGAAACTAGAAGGAATTCCATGACAGGATATTGTTTTGCTTAAGGAGAAGAAATACTTTTCTGTGAAAATTTAATGTTTCTCAATGGAACCTATTCGGGTGATATCCCTTAAGATATAAATTGTTATTGCCCTCAAACTGCATTCACCTTTCAATTTTTTTTTGTATCAATCATGCATAAATGATGAGCAGCTTCAAGAGTTTGCAACAACCCAAGCTTTGCAACAACCCAACCCAGATACAAGAGAGTAATTCGCGATTCACTTACTTCTTTTCTGACTTTCTCTTCTGAACGTTTCTCCGATGAAAGTCGAGGTCTTTTTGATGGTCTCCGATGCGAAAAAACCGTGGGTATTGCACCTGGTTTTAGCGTAGATCTGGGTTTCAAACCAAGAATTTCTGCTTTCAAGTCTCGTTCGTAGCAGTCAGGTGTAAAATGTTCTGAGCACAGCCTGGAGTTTTTCGAAACGACCAGATCCGCTCGTGAGATCTTTGCCAGCCACTGTGATCGTAGAGCTTCATCCCTCGGAAAGCAATGGTAGGATATACCAGTTGTGTACCTCGAGTCGTTGTTACAATCGAACGCCGCGCAGTATACCATTTTTTAGCTCGAAAGTAATCGAAGTAAATATAGCAACGAGGGCTACTCAACCGCCAAGAACAGATAGAAGAATAAACTCAAACAACTCGGGCTTCCGTATTTGTACATCCTTTCTTGCGTAAGCCAAGAATTTAACCCATTATAGAAAACTTATAAACCAAAGTTCAACACGAATTTCAAAATTTTATTTCGTTTTGGACTTCTTGCGACATTGTTAACAGCGTGCCTTATCGTACATGCCATTGCAAAATCCAGACTACAAACGCGTTGCAAACTAATGTTAAAAAAGGTAAATAACAAAATATGGGAAACAGAATGGAAGATGAAATATCTTAAATTACCAGTATGTAAGAAAAATTAAAGTGGAGACCCTATTCCGAAAACATCGAGGTCAATCCAAGTATAAAAGATGCGCCGCACATGATCTGGACACGTAACTACGTTTCAGAGACACAGAGTTACGAAAACCAAAATATTTTCTCTTACACAATCCCTGGATAGAAGACCAATTTTATGGCGCTTGAATCATTTTTTTGCTTCACCTTGCACAATCTTTACCCCTGGAAAACCACAAATTCTTTCCCATGAGCAAGCCGCGGTCCTGAATTCAACTTGCCTGTTTCTTGCCGTGTTTACCTTCATCCCCATAACCTACGTCACACGCTACAAAAAGAACCGCTGACATTCGTGTTCTGAGCCGACGTACCACAGTCAAATGTCGAGCCAATTATCACTAAAAACCCTTCGTTTTCTGGATGAAAACTGTCGTTAGAGGGAAAAAAAATGACGGAAATTTGTTCCATCATACATAAATGTACGATACACGGTGAAAAAAATTACATGAATTTGGACTTCAGTTCTCCTTTAACAACAAAGCCCATCTACAGGTATTCCCAACTTCAAGTAGAGAGTTGCATATCCACAGGTGGATAAATAAGCAGCCCCCCACAGACAGGTGGCAAAAATGAAATAATTCACACTTACTAACACTTCATTGTAATATTATATTCACTTCATGTTAAATTTGGATAATTGAAATGAATGGATTGATAAGCTATTAACTAACCAGGTGGAAATAATGCTGTTTTCTTCATTGCCTTTTTTGCGTTATGTACCTTTATAGCTTCCTCCTTGCTCAATCTTTTTGAAAACTGCCGATTGAGGGGCTCAGGTGTTCTTGATGCATACTTCTTAATTATTTCCTCCCTCTTTTCTTTTGGAAAATTGAAGAGTAGTTTCTTCAAACCATCAACATAACCTGAAAACAACAACAACAACAAAAATATCTACATATTATAATATACAAAAAGGTATGTAAACAGTTCAGGTTCAGGGTATTTCTAAACAAGAAATAATACTCTTTTGAAGGGTATCAGGGTTTTACCAGAGAATATGACAAGTAAAGCAAAGTATTAAAACATCATTCATGTTTTTTTCTTATAAATAAGAGTTAATCCACTGTAGTCATATTTATTCTTACCATAGGTAGGTGGGCATGCCACCTCTCACACAACTTCCTCTCCCATTTTAAATTTTGGGTAAGTGACCTGAACAAACTCTTTTCCATCAAATGCCCTTTGTGTTTCCCTCCGTAAGTTCTCATTGAAATGCAAACTTGTAAGTATGTGCCTTAAAACAAAATTCAGGAATGAGCAAATTCATGTCCATTTTATAGGTTCATACAAAAAAAATGATTGGAAATCATTTAGAGGAAAGAAACACCAAAACATAGATATGCTATTCTGATTAAGTAAGAGACATGAACATAAAATTAGTACAAGTGACTCCCTTTGAAATAAATGGGGTAATTTTCTAAGGAAACTGGTGCTGTATCAGCAGAGAAGTATAACAAAATAATTTGGTTTTATCAACTGAGTTAATTTTTTAGATTGGTCACAGTAAAGTGGTTTTAAAGCTAAGAAAGCCTTAGAACACTTTATGGTGGCCAATCTACATCATTGACTTGGTGGATTAGAAAAATAAAAATCTGTGAAAAAAGAAAACTCATTTCTACACAATCAAAATTACCTGCTGAGAGTCCCCAGCCAAGTAAAACAAGTCATTTTAGGATGCCAATAGTTCAAGGTTGCATGGAAGCCTTTCAGGCAACTTGTCTGGGCATCTGGTGAAAGTTTCTTTATGTCATTTAGTAACATTTTCTTGGTCAACAGTAGTTTCAGTTTGTCAAATGCTTCAGTTCCTGTTAAAGGTAAATATGCAAGAAATTACACAGTGGTCTAGTTTGTTGACAACAGTGGATTGAGTTATTTGCCTAAGAGGTATTGTAAATAAAAACAGAACTGGCAATGGCAAGTTGAAAAAGATATGCAGTATATTATTGATTTTCATACCAACTCTAATCCACTTCCTGGGTTCAAGCTGTCCATGACAGCACTGTTTGTAAAGTGGATCTGGGTGGTTGTTGTGCTTGTTGCTGACATGATGCAAAAATGAATTCCATGTGGCAAGGATGAGGGACTCAAACCCAGCCTTTGTCGAGGTTGCACACCAGCAGAGATGCTTTCTTATTCCCTTCATCCACTCTTTTATAATTTCACATCCTTTCTCTCTACTCAGAGCCAACAACTTTTTCCCTAGTGATCTTGCCACATGCCATATATCAAAATAGTGCTTGGTGTTGACACAGTTCTCCCTAATCCATTTTGCAATGCCTCTGTGCCTATCAGACACAAAAATACCAATTGGTAAACCAAGATGCTCCAAAAAAGAAAAACACCTCTTCGCTCCTTCCAGTTCAGTCTGTTGACTGCCTCCAGTTTAATTTGCCTGAGACAAACAAGAAAATAAAGGTTATCAAACCACCAGGAAATACCGTACAAATCATTGGTTCTTGTAATTTTTATTATTATTACTATTATTATTAACATCATTATCATTTTGTCTATTATTCATCAGACCATTCCATTTCATTGAACTCATAATTTATATCATAATTATTTAGGTATATACCATACAGAAACCCAGCAACCAAAGAAATTAATTTCTTTCTGTCAATAAACCAAGAAAAGGTTTGAAAAATTACATTGTTGAGACACTTGTTTGTCTCTTCAGTTGAGGAGGTGAATAGTATTTGCAAGCCACTTCCAACTAGCCAATCAGCACACATGAAAAGCACTTTTCACCTGTGTGGTATACACTAATAACCAGTATTCATACAAAACTTACCTGAACTTGTTCAAAGTGGACAACCTTCAAAGTTGTGGTACAAAACATTGTGTACACTCCATATTTGGCAGAGTGCCGCATGGAATCAAACCTGCCATCCCCTCTCCAAGCCACATTTTTTATCTTCTTTATACTCTCTGTCAGATTAGCCTGATATCTTTCCCAGTATAGAAGGACAGCTGGGAACAGGAAAGATCTTTGATGTCAAAAAAGGTGTGCCTAGAATATCCACAGAGCCCCATATGGCGGAACACCAGCAAGACCTTGCTTATAGATGTACCAACCACCAAGACTCCAAAACTCAATAGGATATTACCAGCAGGGAATTTTCCCAGAACAGTTGGTTGTGATTTCCAAGAGTACTCTTGGTGACATTGTGAACAAGTCTGAGTCACTTTGACCAGGGTTCCACACTGCCTCATTCTAGCTTTTGGAGAATTTCCTTTGCAGTTGAAACAGAACATTGTAAACAGTTGCAACAGCATGCTGTAGAACATGATGAACTTGGGTTCATCATACCCAGGAGTGTCAGAATCAACTCTGCAAAATTTAAAGTGATACATGATACCCTATTATTTACTTTGATGCCTATCTACTATATTTCCTAGTTGCTTTGAAGATATTGAAAGTGACTGTGTGCAATTTGAGCAATTCTCCATTATTTTTCAAGTCTGGCTTGCAAGAGGATATGCCCATATGTTCCAGAGTAATCATAAAAACAGTCTTGAAAATGGAGCAGAAAACTATATTTTAGAAGTAAATGAATGCATTTCATTATTTAAGAAAAAGATTATGAATATAATAAAGCAAAGAAGGTTGTTACAAATAGTACCCACCTGATATCCTTCTCTAAATCTTCATCTGATGGATCTTAGGTACAAGAGAATAAACAAAATAATAGGATGGTTTATTTCAGTACTCACACTTTTTAGCTCCCTTATCTCCTTTTTCTGTTCTTTTACTGCGGTCTTCAAGCGCCTAACTTGTTTCTGCAAGGGTTCTCACTTTTTATTTGTGCATGCAGTCTACACAAGAGCTGCCTTGCAGTGGAGTTAAAATTCGGAATGGAG